TGTATCAGTGTATGTTCATATTAATAATCAGTTAGGGGAGGTTGTACCCCAAAACAAAATTAATCATCATTATAATCTAATAATATACGCATATCAGAAAGTGCCGGGGTTTAAATTAAAGTACATGTGAAGATGGAGTTAATTCCAGCAATGGTCCTCCGACTATATTGATTTTCCAAAATTAGTCCTTGACTTTTAATTTGGACACTTTAGGTCCCTTGACTTTCAATTTCTTTCCAATTGAGGTCCTTTCGTTAGAATACGGTTAATTGAATTTTAAATGAAGGGGTAAACTCATCATTTCACCTGCCTATGTATTATTCTTAGTATTTCTCCATTGTATACGTGATATATATGAAGATAATCTTAGTCGAAACCCTAAAATGTTCCTCGTCGTTCCCCATTTGCTGACTACTCGTGTGTGCGTTCCTCTATTATTGAGATGTTTACAAGGTATAACAGCGAAATACGAAGGGAGAAATACGAAAAATAATATATAGGCAGGTGAAAGGACGAGTTTACCCCTTCATTTAAAGTCTAATGAACCGTATTCTAACGAAAGGACCTCAATTGGAAAGAAATTGAAAGTCAAGGGACCTAAAGTGTCCAAATTAAAAGTCGAGGACTAATTTTGGAAAATCACTATAGTCAGAGGACCATTGCTGGAATTAACTCTGTGAAGATGCATTGCATAGAGCAAGATGAACTCATGTCACCCACATTAAAGAAACTCTCGACCCATGTGGTCTGCTACATTGACATAATTGTCCCATCATATCATATGCACGCCTTAGGACAGACACCAACTAATGGGCAATACCCTTCTCCATATCCTCACTGCCACAGCCCACACGCTATCCTAAACCTCAAATCACAACCATAATAAACCATGTGATCGATAACGTGGAAAAGAGCAACATATAAAACTAGCCTAGTTGGTGATTGGTCATCCATGCATGCGTGCTATCTTGTAGAATATAATAGGACTGCGATTCTGTTTATGTTATTTTATATTAATTATATATTTTGGTATATTCTAGGTTGTCTGGAACGTCATTGGACACAATCTAGGATTCTCCGGTAATGAATATGTTATATATACTAAAATTATTTGTTGGTGCTTGGATTATTGGTCCACCATAATTAATATAAACATACAAGTGATTTATTACTTGCAAATTATGCAGGATATGAATCAAGAAAATACGTATAAGGTTAAGAACACATGTAGTTTAATAGTAGGTAAGATGAAAATAAGTCAATTTGAATCACCTAAAGTGAATTGGGGAGCAAATTAAGTTGTATTATATAATAGAAAAGTGAAACCTCTCTCAAGTGATATAAATATAATGGTCCTATAAACCCCTCCCAATAAGTATATATAGGTGGATAGGGTTGTCCTATTTATATAAGATTAAATGAGTCATACTTGTCCACTAACTAACAAAATAATAAAGGAACATGCAACACACTCAGATTTTTACTATTCACATACAACCACTCATTATTGATAATAAAATGTATGTGTACAAGACATGTTTTTAAAATTATCTTAGAGAATGAGTTTTAAAAGTAGTTGTAGCTGACACATTTGTTAATACGTTTCTTGATGTAGAGTACAGGAGTAGAGTAGTACCCAATTGAATGATCAAGTTGTGAAGCATATCCTCGATTTAACAAACCCATATCCTTGAATCCTAATACTAGTAAGCTAATCTTATTGGTCAATCCCAATAAACTTGATAATATAAATCCTACATTATTTACTCCCTCCAACTATCTCAAATAAAGGCATTCAATTTCATGAGAAAATAATATTCAACGAAGTGCTAGTTCAAAAATTATTAGATTGAAAATTCATAAGGTGTCCTATACTAATGATATAAAAGAAGAAGGGTATAAACAATTTTTAATGTTTATAGTCGAGCATATAGCCTTACTTCACACCCAACATTGAAAGTTCAGTTTAACCAATTCAAAAAGCCTATCGTACTGAGTTAAATCATATCTAACTAATTAGTCTTAAGTCATAAAACCATGAAATAAATGGTAAAGCACACAAATTAAACCACCTAATCTAACAATCAATTTCACTATCACACATACTAGCCAATAATAAGGCAATCATCAATAACCACAAAATGATGGGAGATACATTGTACTCTTCCCATCCTTTGCCCATGTGTATATACACCCCAATAGTGTTAATAAAAGAGACTATTCAATACTACATTTATTACACTCTATTCGCACAACTATCACATTGTCTAAAGAGCCTTCGATAGGTTGTACAAACACCTCCTCAATAGTTAAAGCGTTTCTTTATTTCTTTCACAATCCCAACTTACTTGACAAGCGAACACACTATAATAATTAATTTTGCCAATTTAAATTTTCACTATCACCGAATTTCCTTTGTCCCCAATTTATAAGTTGTGTAGGGTGAGTGGTAACATGCATAAATTGCCAGCTGCAAGGATCAACAAATATATATATATATATATATATATATATATATATATATATATATATATATATATATATATATATATATATATATATAGTTGGAGTGTATGGATATCTATATATTTACCTTTTTTGACAAATAAAAGCTTTAAAGACATAATAATGCCTGCATATATGCCCACACCAACCAAACGTTGTACGCATCGTTTGTTTAGTAGTTGTGCCCACTTAGCCACTTGCAGCGATGGATATATCTGCCGACCACCAATTTTCCCAAAATGGCACCATGAGTCCAAGCCATTTCAGTGCACATATATTACACATAACAAGTTGCCACGCTTTCCTAGTTACACACACATAAATAGGAATAGGGGCATCAATTTGCAAATCCGCCTACTAGGTACAACTCACTCTCATTCGTTTTACTCGAGTCAAATTCGAATTAATGTAAAAATTTCACCCGTGATTGATAGTAAGTCGAGTTCAGATTTTAAAATTGTAACAACCTACAGATGATATATATATAATACTAAAAATCGTTTACAAATACAAAAGAATACTTATCTGAAAAATTTTATAAGAATATGAGATGTGGAAATTAATTAGCTTGTGACACGTAAGCTAAGGTTGCATGTCACATTTTTACCACATATCTTTTAAAAAGGTAAGTCACACAACACTAAAAAAGGGTTCCATTATTACAATTGTATATATATATATATATATATATATATATATATATATATAGACTAACATTCCACTAACGAGGCACTCGTCACTCTCATTGTACACTGTATCACCATTACAATATAGCAAAACTTAGAGAGCAAACACAGCCAAGTTGATCAAACAGTTGGCTTGGACTCCCTGTATGACCTGTTTATTTACTTTGTTAGTTTGAGCTGGTCATCTATATCCTAGACGGGGTTTACCGACCTAGAGAAAAATCTTGCAAAATTTTAACTTGGACTAATCCGAAAATTGTTCACCTATTTAAGTTCAAGTATTTATTGTGTTCACCTATTTAAGTTCAAGTATTTATTGTGCAACGATTATATACTCTAATTTTCATTAGAATGCATGTGTTCATCAATTAATATTAACCCATTTTGTGCCCTACAAAGGCTGCAGAGTAGTTGAATTGAGTTGTGTTGTTTTCCCTTTTTTTCACTAAGTTTAAAAAGATACACTTCAACAACGTTACTTTTTGACTGTGCACCAACGTGTACACATGTCCCTAACGACAAACAAATAGCATATGTATAACTACAAAGGGTGCACATCAGATCTTACATCTTTCCAAATATTATATAGGTGGGATGTAAAAATCTTTAAGATTGGGAATTCCATCTTCTGAAAAGATTTTGGTTAACAACTTGTGGTCCTTAGGTCCACCAGTATAATTTTCGTAAGGAAATGCTCCAAGAATAATCATCACTTGTGAAAATTGAACTCAAGTTATCTCAAATTTTGGCAGTTGGGTTATAAACTATCCAATTAAATACACATGTTGCTGAAAATAATGATACAATATTTATCTTTTTTTGTGACAATCAGATTTTTATAGTATAAAAGAGTTAATTCCAGTAATGGTCCTCCGACTATATTGACTTTTCAAAATTAATCCCCGACTTTTAATTTGGACACTTTACGTCCCTTGACTTTCAATTTGTTTCCAATTGAGGTCCTTTTGTCAGATTACTGTAAAGTGGATTTTAAATGAAAGGGTAAAGTAATTATTTTATTTGCCTAATGTATAATTCTTTGTATTTCTTCCTTGTATACGCGACTTCAGACATCAAATTCACTTAATTGCTTAATCCCTAATGAAATTTTGTTCTTCGAGTGGATTTAGAGATTAAGCAATTAAGTAAATCTGATATCTGAAGTCATGCATACAAGGGAGAAATACGAAGAATTGTACGTTAGGTAGATGGAATGACTACTTTACCCTTTCATTTAAAGTCTAATTTACCGTAATTTGACGAAAGGACCTCAATTGGAAAGAAATTGAAAATCAATGGATGTAAAATGTCCAAATTAAAACTCGATGACTAATTTTGGAAAATCAATATAGTCGGAGGACCATTGCTGGAATTAACTCTAGTATAAAATATGAGTTCTGCTACATGTACTTCCAAATCTTACTCTCTCAATTTTACTTTCTGATGTGGCGGCTCTGATAAGCTATTTTTTCATGTGGGTCCCGATACAAATGTCTATAACAAGGTTTTGTGTGTGAAAGTAAAAGTTGGGAGTAAAAAATGAGAGTACGCATAGCATTTTCTATAAAATATACCTTAATTTGAGAATGTATAATAATCAAAAGTACACATCATATTATTATGCTTGATTAAAACTCTAATCAAAGTTAATGACAAATAATTTTATTTTTTAATACTCAAGAACACATTTTTATCAACTAACTTAACAAAACATGTGTAATCACACAAAACATTTAGTATACATAGTAAATAACATTTTTCATGTTTTTTTATTGCATCTTTACTTGATATCCATGGTATACGTACGCATTAGGAAGCTGCAATTTGTTTTTTAAAAAAAATTCAGTACAAATATATTTTTTCATGCTTGCCCGTACAACCACACATATAATATGAGTAGTAAATTTCTCAAATTGAGTTTTTCTTTTAAAATAGTAATAATAATAATTGTTCGATAAAATCGGTTAATAGAGTAAATGAATAATCGATTTTTTTTTTATTTTTTTTTTAATGTGGCCGCCCATCAACTCCGGGCTATGTGATCAACAAAGCCATCCAACTCCATGCGGCTAACGCCGCCGTCCGCCACCGCCTTCTTCATAGCGCAGCCAAAATCCGCCGCCCTCTGTCTCATCCGCTCCCCTTCCTCCGTCGCCATCAGCCGCTTGACCGCATGTTCCACCGCCGATGACGTCACAATCTGGTCCCGGCGATCCCAATCCTTAACCACGATCCCGATCCTGAGGACCTTAGTGACGAGCACCGTGTTCCTGGGCTGGTCGGAATGCATTGGCCAGGCCGCCATGGGGACACCCATGGATATGCTCTCCATGCAAGAGTTCCATCCGCAGTGGCTCAGAAATCCGCCGGTGGAAGTGTGGGCCAGCACCTCCAGCTGCGGGGCCCAGTCTCTCACCACCAATCCCCTCTTTCGCACTCTCTCTTCGAACCCTCTCGGCAGCTCTATTTTCCGATGTTCTTTGGAGAAGATATCTGTTTTATCGGCGTCTCTCAGAACCCAGACGAACTTCTGCTCGCTCCTCTCCAAGCCGGTGGCGATTTCTCGGATTTGTTCGTCGGAGAAAGAGGTGGTGGTTCCGAATGAAACGAATATGACAGAGTTTTTTGTGTGGTTGTCTAGCCAGGCCAGACATTTGTGGCGTTGTTGGTGGGTGGTTTTGGAGGCGCCGCCATTGCTGACGTGGACAGGGTTGAAAGGTCCAAGGGCCCACTGTTTCTTCTTCCCACTGATTTCTTCTCTGGAAAGGAGTTCAAGAAAAGGGGCTTCCAGTGCTCTGCATGTGTTGTAAATCCTGCCGGAATTGAACTTCAAGAAATCGTATTGGGCCTTGAGGAAACGCTCGAACTCGGGGCTGAAACATCCTTCGAGGGAAGGAAGGTCTCTGAGGATGTCGGCGTCGACGGCGAAGGGCTTCCCCATCTTCTCCCAAATGAAGAGGAAGATAGTGAAGGCGGAGACGCTGTGGAATATGTAAGACTCCGCATTGGGAATCGACGCCGCGTCTTGAACCACGGACCCCATTAGCGAGTCGTGGATGACGACGACTCGGGAGTTATTGGCGGCGAGCGCCCGGAGGAGCTTCCCGACGGGGTCGCGGAGGAGAGAGGTGGCTTGGTAGGAAGAGAGGAGGTGCGCGGGGAACCTGGATTCGGCAGGGGGGTTGGGATGGAGAGAAACGGCGGCGGCGGCGTTAGCGGTGGGAAATTCGTGAAAGTGGATGTTGGCGGCGGACAAGGGGTTCCAGCCGTGGACTCGTAATCTGGCCTGACGGTTGTGGGTTGCGGTTCCGACGAAGTGGACGGGAATGTTGTAGGAGGAAATGAGACGGGATAGCTGGAGGAGTTGGTTGAGATGGCCTTGTGCCGGAAAAGGAACCATGACAACCACCACTTTTCCTCCTCCGCCGCAGCTCCCTCGTAGGCCATACTTTGTGCTTGCCATGAAGGACGACTACTACGTAACTATCCTTGTGGGCTTAAGGTTTTATAATGGGGTGCCCATCAAGAATCAAGATGGAACACAATATTATTATTATTATTATTATTATTATTATTATTATTATTATTATTATGTTTAATCAGGTTCTCGAATTTTGATGATTTTATCCAATTGAGTCCTATGTTAAAATAACTTGATAATTTTTTCTCTATTAACTATAGGAGTATAACTCAAATTAATATTTGACTATAGTGATTTTACCTAATTTAGTAATCGACTACAGTAATTTTTTTTATTTAGTTATTGATTCTAACCGTTGATTACTGAATTGGGTAAAACAATTAAAGTCAATAACCTAATTAAGCAAAAAAAATCGTTTACTACTAAATTGAAAAAATAAATTCCATGAACCAAATAAGAAAGAATTGTACTCTTGCTATTCCATTTTACCTATTCTATGGCTCTATTTGACAGAGCTTATTTAGAAGCTTATAGCTTATTTTAAGCTCCTAATAAGCTATAAGCTCTGTTTGGTAATGTTCCCAAAATAAGCTCCTAGCTTAAAATAAGAGCTTATTTTGGAACGCTTCTTTAGGTAGCGTTTCAAAATAAGCTCATAGCTCCCTAACTTTTTTTTCATCTTTATCCTTATTATTTTAAAGATAAATTACATAATTTACCCTTCCCAATTAAAACTCTTTCTTTTCTCCTTTATCCGCAACTTTCACCGCAAATATTATTATTATTATTATTATTATTATTATTATTATTATTATTATTATTATTATTAGGAGATTTGTAACAATATTGCTACTTCATTATGATATGCTAGATCATGATTATACTAATAGTTTTATTTCAAAATGTTAATTTTTTTTAAAGACAAAATGCTAAATTTTAATATGTAAACAAACTAATTTAAATTTTATGAAGATGTCCTTTTTAGTCCTTTTACATTTATCAGCTTATCAAAAAATTAATTTTACCAAACACTTTCAATCCTAACAGCTCTTCAGTTTTCAGCTCCGAGCTTATAACTTTTCAACTTTCAGCTTCTAACTTATAGCTTTTCAACTAGATTTGCTAAAGAGAGCCTATTTACTATTCATTGGACAATGGTCAAATCAACTCTTTTTTATTTATTTTTTAAAAAAAAAATTAAAATAACTCCAGTTAACCTTTATTAATCAAATCAGGAAAAAAAAAAAAAAAAAAACATCGAGATGGACAAAACCGAAATATTTACATACATATTTGTATGTATATGTGAGTGTCTGAGTGAGAGTGGTGGATAAGGAATCACTGGGGAAACAGGGCAAATAGAAGAAGTTAAGTTTGTGTATATCTGAACATCATTGCCACTAATGCGGCGGCCGTCAACTTTTATTTATAGGCCACGTACTGCTAATTTTCGATCATCAGTAGGTATATATTTTATATTTTGTGTTAATGTGTAACCTTCTTTTGATATTCCAAAAACGTTGCTATTAAATTGCACTAGTGTACAATATTTAACCACATAAGAAATCATTTTGACAATATCATAAAATGATAATGACATCGTTATGTGTGTCTTTTTTATATCTTTATTGTGAAATGTTATTATCACTTCAAATTAGATTATTAACCTTTAAATGTGTTTATTTTTGTTTTTTTGTGTTATCAGCCTTACAAATTGCACAATAACTCCTAAGTACATTGTACCCACAACTAACTCTTTAATTAAAGCTTCCTATTTTATTCCAAAAACAAAAAAAGCTTCCTATTGGAATCATGTCCAATTCTTATCATTTTAATTTGCCAAATAACATTAATTTTATGTTTGATAGAAATGGAATACAAGCTTTTCTTGATATTGTTTATGATGTGCAAGTATGTAAGATTTTTCTTAAATGTTACTTATTCCCATTTTCAGTGTTTTCTTTTAACATATATGATGCATACCATCAGACACACATTTAATTCGTGTTCACACATACTTAATCTAATCTAGACCATTAAAAATATTGAATAAATGCACATGATTTGTTTTCACGTTCTCACCTAAGTAGGTATTCTCATTGGAACCCTACTCTATATATATGTCTGTGTTTATTTATTTATTTATTTATTTATTTAGTGTGATGAAGTAGAGAATCTTCTAGAATCACTTCAGCCTATCCATCATCCATGTTGTACAGTCATATAACAAAAATGCAATAGGGTCGTTCTTATCACATGTCATTGTTTGTCCTTTTTTAAATTAAATCTGATTAGTACAACAGAACTGTCTCATTTTTTTCTAATTAATAAAAAGATACCAATTAAAGGTTAATATATTATAATAGTTCAAATATACGTGCAATACACGCATAATTTAAAATAAAACAATAAAAATGTTACAATGTTACGTAATGAACTAACGACACTTTGTTAGTAACAATTAACTGAATTGAATAATACTGGCAACTATATATGTTCTCATGCTCGGTTTAATTAATGGAAAAATCAATACAACGGCAGACCGGCAAACAAAGCTGATGATTGTAATGGGGAAACATTTTTTCCATATGAGGAAACCCTCTCAGCAACTTGTATAGATTGCATATAATATGATATAATATATTGGACATTTTATATGTTGATCTCATATTAAACTTTTCCCTGTATAGAAGAATCATCAATTTCCACAATATATAATTAAATATTTAAATTAAACAATGAAACAATTCATCATAACGTAAATCATGAAAAGATGTAATATCTGTTATAGTTTATAAGTTTATTGATTGTATAATATTAGAAGTATCTGTCAAACAATTGATATTGGGATGTTTAGCAAATGACTGATAAATGATTGAGTTAGTTGATTTGGCTAATAAATTAGTTTAGCTGGTTGTGAAAAAACGTTTGGTAAATTAACTGTTTACTTTTAACTATGTGTGTGTAAAATGACTTATAAGAGCATAACATAAAGTGCTAATTTATTAACTCTTAAATTACTTTAATAATAATAATAATAATTATTATTATTATTATTATTATTATTATTATTATTATAAAGAATGAAAAACATTATTGTTGTTGTTATGAAAACAAAAAGAAAAGGGGCAAGACAGATGGACATCAACAAGAGAGATATAAATGTCACAGATGACAAGGAAAAATAGTCATTTCATAATTAAAGTCAATAAGCTAACTAAAAATGCTACTTTTTAGTTGAAGATAAAAGCTTAATGCATTATATCATAAGCAAGACTGTTCCCAATAAATTGAGGAGGAGACTCTCCGCAACCTGACAAAGAAACGGTTTTCCGAGCAATAGCATGGATAGCACGATTTGCAATAAACCATTTTACCAAACATATAAAGTAACTTATTTTACCAATCAAACCAGCCAAATTTAGTCAAACCAGTCAAAATTTGATTTATCCATCATTTACCACAATTGTAATAAGAGAAGGGAATAATTTGTTTCATCGATCTAAAATGTTAAATTGATTGTTAGACTTACAGTATATTTATTTTCAGTATGATGGTCAATAGTAATGAATATTTTTTTATGCTTAATGTATGTTTAACTTTTACCCAATGTTGCAAAAACCGTTAGGCGCCAAGGGGGCGCCTAGCGCCTAGGGCGCCGATTTTTTTATTTTTATTTTTATTTTTTTTATTTTTTTTAATTAAAAAAAATTAATTAAAAATTTTCAAAATTTAGTACTAAAATATAAGGTTTCCATAGTTATTTCTTAGAAACTATTTACAAAAGTGATTGTAAAATTGTTCAAAAGATTGTTTAAACCATCTAAATACATAAAAAAAAAAAAAAAAAAAAAAAAAAAAAAAAAAAAAACTAAAAAAAAAAAAACTAAAATTAAGAGCTAAAGAAGCATTTTTTTGAGAAATTAGTGGACCAAATCAGACAACCGAGTCAAAAGTTATGTCTTCCGAAAGTTTTCCGACATTTTCAAAAAAAAAAAATTCGCCGAACCGGCCGGTTAGGCGGTCGCCTAGACCGCCTAGCCGGCCGACTGGCCGCGGAGGAGACCGTCGAGACCATTTCTCGCGGCGGCCTCCTACCGCCTAGCGCCTAGGCGCCGATTAATCGGCACCTAGGCGCGATTTTTACAACCTTGCTTTTACCAGAAGAATCATGACGAAGTAATGTTTCAACACTTTCAAGGCATAAATTCTGTACCTCAATAATAAAATAGAATAAAAAAGAGTTGTATGTGTTTGGAAATAGCGTTATATTTGATGTTTATGTCGACTATAAGAATTATGAAAAAAAAAAAAAAAATTGAGAATATGGTCATGGATCACGTAAGCTTGAGTTTGATGTGCATGCCAATGCCAACTTTATCTATTAAATTAAAATAGATAAAAGAGATATTGGAGCGGACACAAACAAACGACACACAAGCCATACTTTACTGCTGTGATGGTGTGCATAAATTTGTGGATAGACACAAATATAATGTCACTGACAGCCCCCGCAGCAAACAAATTAAAGTAACGAACAGCTAGCAGACGACAGCAAAATTACGTTGTTGGACGTACTAATTTAATAAATTCAACAAGTGTTGTTATTATCTGCCGCTTCAATTTCACCCATCTGGTTATCATATCATATCATATATATATATATATATAATTATATCCAAGATCAAGATCATATATGATGATGATACACGTACATATAAGGATTATAAACTGCCAACACGTGGAATTGGTACGCTTTTGCTGGCACCAACCTAAGTTTCAACGCTGCAAACCATATGTGTGTGTTGTAACGTTTCCCTAAATTTGAGGTATGTTATGGATGCAGGGGCCCTGGCCCCCCTCACCAATTTTTTTTTATTTTTATAGTATCATAATATATATAATTTTTGGCCCCCCCAAAACATTTGCCTATGCCGGTTGCTAAGTCTTCCAACTCCCAAATTCTAATAAAGGCAATAAAGTCTTTTTCTTTTTGAGGAAAAAGGCAAGTTTTCATCTTCTTCAATCCTCCATTCTCCTTCAACAATTATTTTGTTAATTTTTTCATTTTTCT